TAAGGACCACTGTTCTTTTGTGAATGCAGTGAATGAATTGCAGGGGATCGATTTTATTAGAATGGCTTGTGAAATTGTTCTTTCCTTATGGACAGGAAACTTGTTTTCTCAGCATGGATAAATTGGGTGAAATGTCTTAGGCTTCGCTTGTTATGTTAATTGAGGCCATGGGGGTTGTTTTTGGTGAATGGAAGTTATTAGGGTGGTGATTTATGAATGGGGAGGATTCATAGGTGTTTCTTTGTTTTGTGAATAGGGACAGAAGAGCCTGCTAGATTGAATCGACTCAGCATAACTGCAGAAATGTGCACGTTTGCGGCAGAGGCACTGTGTGATCAGCTGGAACACTACACTGTAAAAAATGTTTTATGTGCTATCTACTAAAAAAATATGGTAACAATATTACACTTAATATTTTGAGTAGTTTTTAAAGCTTGATTTCTTTAATGAAATTTACCTGAATAAATCATGTAAAATCTGCTAAATTATTTAATCTGTGACACAATAAGTTTAATATTATTAGTGAAATGTGCTCATTTATTTTAAAGCTGCAGTCCGTAAATTTTTTTGGTTAAAAATGATCCGAAATCAATATTTGAGCAAGTACATATCCAGCCAGTGTTCAATACTATCGCCTTACTTTAGCCCGATTCACAACGGTTATCTTATAATAATGTTTTCTAACTTGATTGGTACGGGTAGGTTTTCGTGGGAAATTCGAGCATGGCACTGCGTCATTACGTCACGTCTGTAAACATAAAGAAGTTGTCCCGGCTACTAGGCTATCGCATGTGAGGATCCTGCAGGTGGCCGATCCTTTATAGCCTTTTCTCACAGCAGCCAGAATAATGAAATGTATAATTTTGAGGGCGGATTGTAATCCATAAAGGATTATGTTTATGAAACACGTGAATGAAATTAGATTATATTCCAGTTATAAATGTGCTTCTGATTACAGATAGCCTGGGATTACAAAGATTTGTATTTTAAAGAAAACCAGTTCGGAGGGAGCATAATTTTCTTTTTGGGTTCAAAGAATTTCTTAATATGAAATTCGAAGAGTATGACAATTAGATTAGACTGTGCAGAAATTAAAATCTGCACGCTAATACACAATATACTCATAGTCACCAATGATATTAACATTAATCGTTTGAGAATAAAGTATAACAATAATAATAATTTGAACGGTTTGATGTGATATGAGCTAACCGATCTTTAGATTTAATCACCATTGGTAGCTAGATTTATGGTAATGCTTTTTTCCTCAGTTGGTCAGAACAAACGTGGCAGACTTGTTACTTACTTTTTCATTTGGCAATATACGGTGAAAATTCTTATTTGGGTCATATATTCCAAGAAGTAGGCTAGAATCTGTGATTGCGAAGTACAGTAAATATCCACACCGGTGCGGTGACTGACTGCCAGATACTCTTCAGAACATTTAGATTCTTCCGCGCTGGAGTCGTGCCCGCTCACAACCCACGCAAGGAAGATAATTCCGCACACAGCTGCAATTCCGGGTTTTCAAACAGAGATGGCGACAAAGAGGCAAAACTTACGGACTGCAGCTGTAAGTTGATTCTCAAAAGTCTGTGATTTTCAGTAAGGCCTGTTTGCATTTGATTTTGAGCTATCTTATTCAATTAAAAGACCGTATACAGCTAGACAGCTCAAGTAAGAAAAAACTTATAACTGCACTGGTGCTAGCAAAGTTTCTGCTCATTGAACAAAGCATCATGTGTCATAGTGTTAGTATATGCAGTTATCCACAACCTAACCTAAGCTCTACTCTTCTGCACAATGGTAATGACAGAAACTTCAACATAACAGAAACTCTTTCAAATATCAAATATAACTGAACATTAAACATTAACAGATGTTTCCCTTCACTTAAAAACACATAAAATAGCACTAAATTTCAATATTTACTCTCCATATCCCGCCATATGCAAAGCATGCTGGGAACTAACAATCATCACCAAAATAAAACTGCATAATTGAGCTAATTCTCTTAAAATAAATAGGTAGCCTTTCTTCGTTAAAGGGGTCATATGATGCGATTTCATGTTTTCCTTTGTCTTTGGAGTGTTAAAAGCTGTTCGTACATACAGAAGATCTGTAAAGTCACAAAGATTAAAGTCTCTTATAAAAGTGAACGCTCATCCACGCCTTCCTAAAACGACTCTTTCAAACACCCCCCCCCCCCCCCCCCTTTTTTCCCCTCCACGCCGAAGACAGAAGCACAGTAATTGATCTGATTGTAAAATGTCATCTGAAATGCCACTGTCATTAATTATCAATACTTCAATAAATCCGTTTGAAATGTCATAAACTGACCCTGGTTCTCCTCCGATGGTGCGTTAGATAGTGGTCTGCCAGGCCCAAATCAACGGCTCTCATGTTGTCCCCCCCCCCCCCCACATGTCTACGTCACTGTGTGGGAAGATTTGCATAACACTGCCCAAATGTATATGCAAAGAAAGAAGGCGTAACTTTTATTCTCGCTGTAGTATTGTTGCCTCCGCCGTCATGTCGTGGAAACACTGTGTTTTGTTGCGAAAGACAAACTACTTTGTTTGGCCTTCCAAAAGAGGACACAACTAGAAATCAGTGGTTAAGTTTTATTTACAACACTGTTCCAGAACAGTACAACCCAAATATTCGAGTGTGTGCAGTGCATATTATGGAGGAACCTGGTAAGGGACTTAACATTTCTACACGCCCCCACATGTCTACGTCACTATGTGGAAATATTAGCATAATGCCGCCCAAATGTGCACGCAAAGAAAGAAGGCGTGGTTTCAGGAACAGCAGTAGTGTTGATAAAGCCATTTCAGGGAGACGCTGTGTTTCAGTACGAAAGCAAAAGCGCTTTATTTGGCCTTCCGGAAGTAGATGCAATTAGGAATCATGCTGTAGTATTGTTGCCTCCGCCGTCATGTCGTGGAAACACTGTGTTTTGTTGCGAAAGACAAACTACTTTGTTTGGCCTTCCAAAAGAGGACACAACTAGAAATCAGTGGTTAAGTTTTATTTACAACACTGTTCCAGAACAGTACAACCCAAATATTCGAGTGTGTGCAGTGCATATTATGGAGGAACCTGGTAAGGGACTTAACATTTCTATCACACGCTTGAGGTATTCGGCCAATCACAATGCACTAGATAGCTTAATTTTTACACCGGTAGCTTAATGTTAATTAAACGTTTTAAATAAAAATTACAAGATGATTTATTTTTCACAGTGTACACAAGAACATTGTGCTCTTCAATCTCTAAAGCAGTTCAGTGCCTGGTTGCATAAAGCACCTTAAGAATAATTTTCCCTTAAGATCGCCCTTAAAGGGATAGTTCACCCAAAAATTCGACATTATTAACTGTCTTGATATTTACTTTGAAAGCTTGAAGCTCGCGATTATGGTAAGGGGCGTTACATTTCCGACGCGTGCTTGTGGTGTTCGGCCAATCACAATTCAGCTGGCCAATCAGAGCAGACTGCGAGGGGGCTTTGTTGAAAACTACGTGTTTGAGAGAGGCAGGGCATAGAGGACCTACAATAATGTACAGCATTTGAAAAATAATGTGTTTTTTGAACATTAAAGCATGTCAACATATTCTGTTACACCAAATACACAAAATAATGATCTTTAAAATAGCATCAAATGACCCCTTTAAGTATCCCTTAAACCCAACAAGTGTTGCATAAAGCCCCTTAACTGTCATTTTCCTAAGGATAACGTAAGGGTTGGAAAATGGCACGTTAAGTGTTACACAAAAGTCTTCTACAAGTCATGATCGGCCGCTTTATATTAAACAGATTTGAATTTTCTCATTTATTCACATATAAACATTGATCAAATTACAGCACATTACGTCACGTATTCCCAACTTCTGAGCCTGCTCACCTGAAGTTATGGTTGATTGCTCTTCGGCTGGATATCAACACACCCATTAACGTAAACTACACCAGAGCGCGTACATACCTCACGCACCGGATGCTGTGCGCGCTCAAAGATATTTTATTCCTGTATTTTCCTACATATTACCTGGAGATGACTTGAAAAACGCACATAAACCCTATATTGTTGCAATCGTGAGTTTATTGTGTTTACGGTTCTGCTTTTTGTTCAGCTTATTAGATAGGCTACTTCTATGAATCCGGTTTGGACTTTCAGCATGAGAGCGCCCTCCGGCTTCGAGTATGAATGAAACACACACTGCATGAGTGTTTAGCACTTTAATGTTCACGTTGTTTTGGATACGAGTAAAACGTCATGCATAGACTATCTTGTCTCTTTGCATTTAAATATATATTTATTCACATTAGTACCTGAAAGCCTCTACATGGACAGAAATTACGAGAGATCTTTATTTGTTGTCCAAAGATGAATAAAAGTCTTATGGGTTTGAACTGACACGAGGGTGAGTAAATGATTTTTCAGGATTTTCAGTTTTGAGTGAATTATCTGTTTGAGTTTCTGTCTCGTCTGGTCCTTCTCTTTCATATTTGGTTTCCTTTTTTTTGTTTTCCTTATCCGTGTTGTATTGTTTTCTGTGAAAACTTACACCGCTATCTGCATTAACAAAAAACGTGACCATGGCAACAGTCGACTTTTTTAATGGCAAAACCTGGGTCGCTGTCGCGAAACACGTAACGGTTTCCCTTTGCTAAGGGATGTGTTTAAGGGATTATATGCAACACCCTTAAGTCATTCCCTTAGGTAAGGGGAAATCACGCCTTAAGTCTCATACTTAAGGGAAAAACTTAAGGTGCTTTATGCAACCGGGCACAGGGCCTCCAAACAGAAGGCAGAAGTAGAGTGGGAAAATGTGAGTGAGAGAGAGAAAGTGAGCAAAAATGCTGCATAGAGGGCTGTGTGGAAAGGCCAGCTCACAGACTTCTCATTTCAGCTCTCAGGTTATCCAGAATGAATTGAGAAAAATGATTCACACTGAGAGTTTTTTTTCTGTAATGTTGTTCTTGTTTATTTGTTCAGATGTGGCTGCTGTTTCAAACATCTCTGCTTCCTGCCTTCATCAGTGAAATAAATTACGAGATAATGAGAAAGAGGCTGCCATCGAGGACCTGCTATTTCTGACAGTGAATGTTGTGGCGGTGTTGAGCCACAATGAAGGCAAGTGGATTGGTTATTATTTAAGACCAATATCAACATACAGAAGATTTCTGTTTTTTAAGGCTCTAAAAAAAATGTCCGTGTGTCAGCTGGCTGTTCATTTTTCAGCTGTTTGTATTGCATTTATTTGAATTGAATTCTGTACAAATGTATAAGCTATGCATCTGTTAACGTACACACAAATGCTGTGTCCAAAAACTTATACTGAGTAGGTACTACATTTGATGAAGAACTTACTGTGCAAACATGAAAAAGTATGTTCTATATAATAGTGTGGAGTAGTATGTAAGAAATCCAGACATACTACATACGTGGTTTTGTCATGTGACCTACGACGTTGTTTATCTGTCATTCATGACTCCTATCCTGTGGCCTCGTGGGATTGTAAAATGTCCATCAAGTACATAGCCTATTTGGTAGAAATAATATGTCTACTTACTTTTTATTTATTTAATTTTTAAAATATTTATTTAGACATACTACTCTTTTGGTATGCTGTGTTTTCCCCACTTTTTTATGTTAATACTGTATAGTAGATGAAGTACTTTTGACCAAATTCTAAAGTGTTCTTCATAGAGAAGGCAATCCCATAATCTACTGGGATGAGCTGAGTGAAATATATTCAAGATGGCAGAGAAGCATGTGAAATATAAAAAATGGTATATATATTCAAATATTAAAACTGTTATTCAATACTGAAAAATAAAATAATAAATTACAATATTCAGTCTTTTATTTATTTAAATTTTACTCATTTATGTGTGCCATATATATTAATCCATATTAGGTAAAGTTGACACATAATGTGTCCAATGTGGACTTTTTATTTATCAATATAAGGATTTTAGAGTAAAATTTGTATTCTTTCTAATGAGAAAGTATTTTTTATTTTTTTTTAATAATGTTCTCATTTAGCTTTATTATGCTTTTAATAACCTTTTTGCCTGCATTGGTTCATTTCAAATGCTCCTCTGGTGTGACAAATTTTTAAATGTACTGTACAAATATTTTATGTAGTCTTTTAAATTACAAAAGTCATTAAAACTGCATGTATAACAATTATGAAATAATTAGCAAGTTCTGTTTAAAATAGTTTTAGATGGAGTACAGTATGTCATACTCTAGGTCAACAGCTCTATGAGAATATTGCATCACTCTCATACCACCTGTATTGAAATCTCAACTTACGTCTCGCACACACCATATGTGATAAATGCTTTGTAGGGGACACAGAAGTGCCTATAAGACAGCTCACTAGGTTTTGGAGCTAATCTACTTCTCTCAAACATATGCATTGTGCTGTGTTAGAAAGAAAGATTTTTCTAAAGGTGGGAATAAAGCCAAATGAGAACTGCATTTAGTGTATTGCAGAAATGTGAAGTTTTAAAGGTGAAGCGAGTGCGCTTTCTCATAAACCTCTGTCGGGGCCTAACGGTGCTATTTTTGGGGAAAAAAAATCTGGTAGCACTTCTGCTATTTTATCATTTAGCTGACACTTTTATACAAAGAGTACACTTATTAAAGGGACCGTCCCCCTGGAGAAACCTGAGGTTAAGTGTCTTGCCCAAAGGTGCAATTATGATAATTCATGAGTTGCTCCTTGTGGGATTCAAACCGACAACCTTCTATTTATCAGCCTACAATAGATTTGCAACTTTCTGGCTACTTAGTTTACCAACCAAGTTGCTGAGGATGTAAATGTTTAAAGGGGTCATATGATGCGATTTCAAATTTTCCTTTCTCTTTGGAGTGTTACAAGCTGTTCATGCATAGATAAGATCACTAAAGTTGCAAAGACTAAAGTCTCAAACCCAAAGTGATATTCTTTATAAAAGTTAAGACTTGTCCACACCCTCCTAAAACGCCTCGTTTAAACACGCCCCCACATGTCTACGTCACTGTGTGGGAAGATTTGCATAACACTGCCCAAATGTTCACTCAAAGAAAGAAGGCGTAACTTTTATTCTCGCTGTAGAATTTGTTGTTGCCGCCGCCATGTCGTGAAGACGTTGTGAAAGCGAAACTACTTTGTTTGGCCTTCCAAAAGAGGACGATATCCGCTTCGTCATGCCTAGAGCTGATCCGTGCTGGTCGCTGAGGAAATACATCAACTTCGCGCTGTGGTTCGCCGGATCAGCTTTCACCATGGATGAAGCGGAGTCCAGCCCGAGGTCGTCACTTGTGGTTGCCACAAGCCCGCTGGCCGCTCCTTCGTCGAATCTGCCGGCCGCCGCTCACTCTAGCCGTGTGTGACGCTGTGTTTTGTTGTGAAAGCGAAACTCCTTAGTTTGGCCTTCCTAAAGAGGACACAACTAGAAATCAGTGGTTAAGTTGTATATACAACACTGTTCCAGAACAATTCAACTAGGGATGGGCGATTTTCCCGATTTTATCGATTAATTCGAATTTATTGTTTTGCCACGATTTTATTTTTTAGAAATCGAGGAATCGTGATTTTGAATAGAAATATGATCAAATGTTAGAATTAGTCACTTTGACAACATGCCGGTGATAACAGTAAAGAGAAACGAATGATCCAACCACATGTTGGCGCACGGGATTAACCGCTCATGTGTGACGCGCTCTGTGAAGGACCATTAATATAACGCTAAGCGCCATTCACACAGAATGCGCTTTTGTGTTGACAAAGATTTGACGCAGGCAGTGGAATAGGTAATACATGCAAGAAGATGGGAGTGAACTTTTTTGAACTTGAGCGCTGTGTTTTTAGAATGGCGTTTCATGCATGAGACACTGCAAGAGACGCGAGCGCAACAGTCAAACACATACATGTTTACACAGAAAAAACAATGGAAAAGCAGCGCAATTGAATAAAAAACCTGTTAAGAACTACTACTGTATGTCTGATATTTCATGTTTGCATCATGGTGACAGGCTGAAAGCTGCTGTTGTTTTTACAGAACATTTATAGTTAACGGTAGTCTACTGGTGTTATACCTTCAGTCATTTTGAATTTGAATTACCGTGACTTTTGAAATTTTTTAAAAGCATTTTCCTTGTATTATTTCTGAACACATAATATGTATAAGACAAGTTTGTACAATATGTACTTGTAGTTCATGCATCTTTTCTGCAATGATATTAAGTGATTTGTTTAACGTTTACATCATGTTGACAACTTAATGTGTGCTACACTTAGAATAGAATTTTCTTTAACTAGAGGTTTAATAAAGAAAAAGTAACTTGAATCATGTTGTAGTTACATTTTAAAGTTGACTAGTTAAAAATCTTTAAAAAATCGAGAGTCGGTCAAACATTCTAGAAAAATCGAGATTTTAATTTTTTGCAAAATCGCCCCGCCCTAAGTTCAACCCAAATATTCAGATGTGTGCAGCGCATTTTATGGTGGACTGTTTCCTGAACCTGCGGAGTAATGTTAGCCTACAATGCGTCTGTGCACAAAGGCTGTTTCTATAAAGTGGGGCAATTCCAACTTTGCAAGGACAGTCTGGCGCTTCTGACTCACAGCCTGTAAGTACTTTTTTTATATTTAAAGAATTTGCCACTGACAATTCAAACTTTTGAGCAGTGTAGAGTAGCGCTTGTTGTTTCTCCAATCACAGATGCAGACATGGTTTTATGTTTACGCGGCGTGATACGCAACGCAACGCATAAAAAGACAGTATAAGTCATTATAATCTGTAATTATGTCCCCACTTGGTGCAACAAATGCCTCCTTTGTAATGGGTTTTATTGGTGTTGTCTCATTGCGCCGGGACACGGCATCACAGTATGGTAAGGGGAGTAACATTTCCGTCACACGCTTGAGGTATTCGGCCAATCACAACACACTGGATAGCTGGCCAATCCGTGTACACCTTGCTTTTCAGAACGATGAGCTTTGTAAAAATCGACGTGTTTCAGAAAGGCGGGACATAGAGGAGAAACAATAATGTACAGCATGTGGAAAATAATGTGTTTTTTGAACCTTAAACCGCATAAACACCCCTTCAAACGGTTTACCAATCGGTGGATAGTTTTGTACTAGGGGTGTAATTGTAAAGATTGCGCACGCTTCAGTTCGGTTCACTGTTTTAGGGTCACGGTTCGGTTTGGTATGTACTATGTTCAGGGAAAAAAGGACTATGGTCAAATAAAAATAAAGAAAATAATAACAAATAATCAAACTAAAGGCAACAGCACAAATAAATACAATAGAGCAAAGATTCTAATAAAATAAACAGTGTTTTTAAGGTGTTTCATGTGTTTAACAGTAATTTTCAGGCACAGAAATTTAAAAGTAAACAAATGTAAATTAGCAGTGCATATTTCACTGTATAAATTAAAGACCAATCCTTGTTAAGGATTTAAGACATGGCCAACGATGTTTGCAAGGATACGCACAAAGATGGGCATGTTGACATATTTTCTTGTGTTAGTTTGTCAGTTAAAACGCAAGTCTTGACAGACAAATCAATATTTGCTCAGCACGTTACGGACAGGACCGGATTAAGAATTCAGAGGCCCCTGGGCACAATGGGCATCATTTACGAAACGAACGTACGACAGAAAATTGGGTGTACGGTCATTTCAACGCAAAACTTGGAATTTATCAATATGGACGTGAGCGGTGGCTACGATCAAATCTCACGTCTGGTCTCAGCTCGTGTGCGCAAGTTTTTGAGTTACCTGAACTTGCACGCAGTGTAGTTAATATGGTGGAGAATTCTAGAATGACAGCATTTTGTTCATTATTTTCCTGACCGTCAAATGAAGCTCTTTATATGCGTGAATAGCAGCAGCGTAAACAAGAACATGAGGATTCAATCGTCGCATCATGCAACTGCTGCGCTTCTGTGAAAGGAGAAAAACAGAAATTAAGTCTATAAAAGGAATAAAATAAATAGAATCACACAAAATATATAATAGGCTATAATATAATTAACAGATTAACAAAAGGGGGAAAAAAACTAGTGCAACAAGTTATAGGTTGAGCCGGGCTTTAGGTGCTACTGCCTACACCATTGAAGACATTGAAT